CCTTAACACTTCCAAATGTCAAACGGTTGGCTTCATGGCTGCCTACTCACGATATTAGAGCAGTAATACAAAATGAAAACATCGTCCCTGAGGTCACTTCTCAACTTAAACAAATGATTAGCGTCTTTCGTGAGGCTCGGGATATGCAGGAGAAGCAGCAAGACCGGCAGAAGTTGATCCAAGACCGACGACGCCGACCAGGGCCAATTTTCGCTCCCGGGGATCGGGTGATGATCACCACCCATCCTGTGAGCAGAGCCGCAGCCGGAAAGACCACCAAGTTCGCCCCTCGAAGGGACGGCCCTTATGTGGTCCTATCTGCAAAGGGGCCTTGCAACTACGAGATAGCTGCCCCGGAAAATCCAACCCAGATACTAGGGACATATCACGTGTCCTCCCTCCGACCATGCGTTCTGGACGAAACTAATGATTCACACCACGTCGTCCCTCTGCGTCGGCCCGGCCGCCCCAGGAATGTTCACCGAAGCACTGCCGAGTCGTCTAGCGCTCCAGTAGGGAGAGAACTGTAACACCACCCCTGCCTTTTCAATTTTCGCGCCCAACTCGCCGGCTAAGTCGTTGCGTTACCCGACTACCCTCGTCGAAGAGCCACCGTCGATTTCCGATGATACCGATCCACACCCCTTCCAACGAAGTGGGAGCATAGAGACCGCATCACCCTTTTCTACGCAGAGGCTATTTAAGAAGCTGCTACCCCAGGAAACGAGACACTCTGCGCTCGACCTTCGTTGTACGAACACACCTGCACCGCACCGATTGACATCACCGAAACAACCAGAGCTTTCCAGCGAACCAGGCGTTCAACAAAACTGTCCGTTACTGGACAATAACTACTCAAGGCCACCATTATATTCAGCCCCGCTGTAATAGGTAAGAGTTTTTCTTTATTATATTTCAATTAACCTACAGTTCTCTGGGACGGAGTAAGCAATGTCCCTTTGAACTACAACGTACCTTACTTACTAACACAACAAACCTTTTTTAAGCCTATATATTTTCCTCTATTTTATACCTATTTTCCTGATTGAGCGAAGTCACATACCATCCAACTAGCTAGCCATTTTCAACATGGCTACCCCCAAGAGCTCCGCACTCTTGGAGGGATTTTCCCTTGCGGACGCCATTGCCCTGGCCAGTGACCCTCAGGCCAAACTCGCCCAGGTAAACGAATTTATTCGTTTATACTCCACTGCAGCAGCCCCTACGCCCGAGACCAAAGACATCATCAGTAGCAATCAACGCTAACTCCAACCAATCCACCCAACGCCAGCCCCAACCGTGCCCAAGGTCATCTCCGACAGTGCCGCTACCCGTCTACCGCACACGGACCGCCGAGAGAACGACGGTTTCGTCAAGGCCGGCAAACGCGCTAACAAGCGCCGCCGACAACAGCCTTTTCTGTCTTCGTCCGAGTCATCTTCCTCCTCGGACAACGAATCGGACTTAGAACCAAGTCCAAGTCTCCACCACCAATCGTCATACGACAGAAGTCCTTTCAGCCGAAAATTCTTCGTGCCATGGACAATCACGGCATCACCGCCCGTAGGTCTGTAAACACCAAAGACTCAATTCGAGTCTACCCGAACTCTATCGACGATATTCGTCGTCTATCCTCTTTACTGGACGAATCCAAAGTCCAATTTTCTACTAACCAACTACAGCAGGACCGTGACCTCCATGTACCTGTCCGAAAAAATCAAACTTTTTGTCCCGAACTTCTCTTCCTACAGAAGTGACCGTGAAAACCGCAGTGCCGGCGGTGTCGCCATACTAGTTAGGAACTCATTAAAACACAGGCCTATCTCTTTGGCCACAAACTCTTTAGAAACAGTAGGCATCGAAGTTTCACTAACCTCCGGTCCTCTTAGGATTATTTCTCTCTACTCCCCCCCTTCGGACAGAGACCTTTCTGAACTCCCCCTTCTACTCCCCCCAGGCGCTCCGACCATCGTTGCAGGCGACTTCAACGCTAAACACGTCTCTGGGGGCTGTCGACAAACAAACAATAAAGGCAACTCCCTTCTAGCCAAAATTCTTCAGTTCAACCTCACAGTTGAAGCACCATCTGACCCCACATTCCTCCCTACCCCCCACCATCAATACCCTGACATTCTTGACATTTTCGTCACGAAAAATGTCACACTTTCCGCCGATCCTATCGTCTTAGACGCATTAAGCTCGGACCATCTCCCAGCCCTTATTGAAGTCGGCCGCCCAATCCTCAACCCCCCAAACCCAACCACGTCACTAGACTGGTTGCACCTTCGTTACACCCTGGAAAAATCTTCATTCAAGTGCACTCCAATTCGCACAATAGCGGAACTTGACGAAGCTGTGAATCTCCTGTCAAACGAGATTACCAGCGCAGTCGAGCTCTCCACTACCTCCCGCCCAACGCCCACCAAAGACAGAACCCTCCCAGCAGACATCCTTGACCTCCTTAAGAGGAAAAACAAGGCCCGACGTCTGTGGAATAAATACCGCGTCCCCGCCCAACGTGCAGAGGTAAACGCCCTTCAACGAGAACTAAAAACTCGTCTCACCGAATTCCGCAGCGCAACCTTCGGCGACTATATCGCTCAGGCAGAAAAACATCCACGAAGCACCTGGAAAGTGATCCGTTCTCTTTGTAACAGAGCTCCCCATCTTCCGCCTCTTAAACAGAACGGCTCCACCTATTCCTCAGACGAAGAAAAAGCTGCAATCTTCGCAGACCCTTTGTGTTTCCAGTGCTCCCCACTACCAAGCCCAGTGGATCTTGCCGACTTTCACGAGCGTACCAAAGCCGTCTCCCAGAACTTCGTTCCCTTGAATTCCGACTTCAAACACACGTCCCCACGAGAAATCTTTCTCATTATCCGCTCTCTAAAAAAGAGAAAAGCCCCTGGCGCTGACGGAATTGCTAACGGAGTCCTTAAAGTCCTGCCACCAAAGCACATAACCGCACTGTGCAACATCACAAACGCCATCATGCGGCTCCACCACTTTCCTTTGGTCTGGAAAGAAGCCACTGTCATCTGTCTCCCCAAAAAAGGGAAGCCGCTCAGCTCTCCCTCAAGCTACAGGCCCATCAGCCTGCTCAGTTCGCTGAGCAAAGTAGTAGAATCCGTCCTTCTCGCTCGGCTCTTAGACCACGTGGAGCAAAACAACCTTCTCCCTGATTTTCAACACGGTTTCCGCAGGCAACACGGCACCGGACACCAACTTCTTCGTGTAACTGAACACATCTCCGACAACCTCAACAAGCGGCGTCACACTTCCATGCTCCTTCTTGACGTCCAACAAGCCTTCGACCGAGTCTGGCACGAAGGTCTCATTTCCAAACTTATCGCCCTTAACATCCCACACTTTCTAGTTGGGGTTATCAGGTCCTTCCTCACAGACAGAAGCCTTCGGGTCCGCGTTGGCTCTGCTCTTTCTGCCAGTAAACCCGTCACAGCCGGTGTCCCACAAGGCTCCAAACTATCCCCTATTCTGTTTAACCTGTTTTGCGCGGACATCCCCTCCCACACTTCAATTCTGACTGCCCTGTACGCCGATGACATTGCTATCATAAACTCTTCAAGTACCATTCTCCAATGCACGGCAAGAATCAATAGGTTTCTCCCCCAGCTCCTAAACTGGTATCGGAAATGGAAACTTTCCATTAACGAGACCAAATCGGAAGCAATTTTCTTTTCCCGTAGGCTCCGAAAACCTCCCTCCATTATTGTCAACAACCGCCCAATCAAATGGAGCACCTCTGTCACGTACCTTGGCGTCGTTTTAGACAGATGCCTAAACTGGCGGCCCCACATTAAAGCGACACGCAACAAGGCTCTGGGTGCATTCATCGCACTTAAACCTTTCTTTCGAAACAACACCATCTCCCAACAGACCAAAATCCGTGCGTTTAACGCAATTATCAGGAGCATTTGCTCCTATGCCATTCCCGTCTGGGGCTGCGCCCTTCCCCATCGCCTAAAACCTTTACAAGGTACATACATGCGGATTCTTCGCTCCGCACTTAACTACCCGTGGTTCGTCAGAAACACCCAAATTCTGATTGAAACCGGACTACCTTCTCTCCCCGAGGCTGCAATCACATTCGCGGCAAATCTTCGGGCCTCAGTGTCAGGCCACCCAAACCCCACCATCTCGGCACTCTCCAACTTCTCACCGAAACCCAACGACCGTTTCAGAAGGCCCTGTCACCTTCTACAATGAGCCGCCCTCTCCCGCTCAAATTTATTTCCTAGTTTCGCTTTTTAGCGCGAGTGTCCACCCACCACATCAGAGGTGGACCACCTACTCCCGTTTCCACCCCAATACTCCCGTCCACCAACACTTTCCCGATTTCCCATCTCAACTCTATGCCTAATCCCCAGCTTTCCATTTGTCTCCCGGGGATGAAAAATCCACAGAGTTTACCTTCCCGCTCGAGGAGGGGTTTTAGTCGGTAAAAATCCGACACTACCTCCCTTCAGGGGGTGTCTTTTGAAGATTTCCCCTCCTGGAGCATAATCTAAACAAAAAAAAAAGGAAAACAGGAAACGAGAGTGGTTGGCCACTCTTCTAACAGCTCCTCTAGACTGAGCATCCTTCGGGGTCTAGTCTATCTGGAAGTTAGTAGAGACCAACACCTACTGCACCCCTTGGGTCAGCCTTGCTTCTCGCGCGCCTCCGGCCTGGTTAAGTGTATCGGCTATCAAAGACTACCCTGGTAGTTGATAGTTGTTAAGTTAAGTTTAAACATTCTTTGTTTTCTGTCTAAATAAATGTGTTAAACTCTTTAGACATTTCGTTCCCCAAAAGAACGCGTAATAAGCTTCATTTGTTAAAACTAGCATTTTCTATGTTACATGGTAACTACTCTCATGAATTTTTTTCAGTGCAGTATTACACGATTTTTTCGGTTTTTCTATATTTTTACCCTCTGTCACTTCATAGAGTCGTTTTAGTTTTTTTTTGTTTTCATAAATAAAGGGAATTGTACATACCACAATTCCATGGATTAAACAGAAGATACAGATCGTTTTCATAATTTTGAATCTTATCTGGTTCACTTGACTTCTGAGTATTTGTCTCTACTTTAAGGCTCCAAATTCCTACAGGGCAGTCAGGTGGTGAATATATCTAAAATAAAATAAACACATACATATATTATAGGTATTAATGTGCAAATCTTAAATGTAGGTACCTACCTAAATTCTTCAATTACTATAATTTTAATAGATAGAGAACTGTTATTTCACTTGGGGTGAGAATAGGCATGCACATTCTGTTATGATTTTCCATTATTTATTAATAATTTACTAAATTAGTTTCGAAAATATTGCTTAATTTAACGCAATATATATTCGACACTCAAGGTGTTATCTTAAATTAGAAACTCCGTTTTTTATGTAGAATATATTATTGGATAGATTCGACCTTTGCTTGAAGAAAATCCATATCAATGAATAAAATGCAACAAGATTTTCACAAATTTTTACTTCGAAGTAACAATTGTTTCGCCTATGTTGGCTTTCTTAGACTTCGGGTACTTACTACTAATATTACAAAGTATATACAGTGTTATTGGGATTAGTTCAAAACAAATTTAGAAATGGTGAATTATGGTCATTTAGTAATACACCTATTTTTTTAGATTTATTAATCTCTAAATTTTCAAGTACCTAACGTCATTTTTTTTTATTTTCTATATGTAAAATATCCAAATTATTATTAAACAAATGTTTCTAATCAGTGACGTGTTTGGCAGAGGTAGAATCTATCTTGTTTTTGATGTAACTATTTGATGCTCATTTAATCTTTTTTTAAAATTTCTGCCTGTTTGACCTACATAAACTTTTTGGCAAGACCCATATGGTAACTTATGTAAACCTACCTGATTTTCAATATTTAATTTGCTAAGATTGGCGAAACAATTGTTACTTATGAAATAAGAGTTTGTGAAAATCTTGTCGTAGGTATGAAAAATACCAATTAAATGAGGTCCAATACGTCAAAGTCGTTTCAATAGCTTTTTAAAAAAATGCAAAAGAAAAACGCAATTTATAACAATGTTTTTAGCAGTGGTCCTTGAGAATAAAAAATTATACTGAACATATCAAATAACTACCAAATGTAAGTTTGACCGAAGAAGTAGTTCCTGCACAATTGTATTTGTGTAAAAATTAAAAATTTTGTCTTCAAAAAATGGAAGGGCCTGTTCCTATTCTATTTTTATTTAACAATTTAAGAGCAAACATACATTCTTTTGCGAATAACTTTTCTTTAAATTTTATTTGTACGTAAAAAACTTATAGTATCATTCGAAAGAATGAGAAATTTTACGAAAAAGAAAACATATATAATATGTATTTTGGGCAGTAAACTGGAGTGAGTAGTTTGTTAACTAAGGTCCCAAATGACGCTGCGCCGACCGCTCAATGAAATAGGCTTGTAGAAGCGCGCACGCTGGACGTAAATGGCTGTAACTTTTGATTGCAAAAGGATATGAAATCAACTGAAGATGAAAGAGTACTACAATTTTTAGTATTTTTCTAAGTACTTTAATGATTACATTATATTTTGAATTTTGCAAATTCGTTATCAGTATGCCCAAAAACTCCGACTAACTGATTTTCAGCATTATTTAACAAACTAATTTTGCAGTTTTTTGTTATGAATAAACAAATAGAGATTTAATGTACAATACCAACCGATAGACTTTGAACCTTAACAAATTTAATATTTTTGAAGAAATTCTAAAAGTTTATATGAATTTTTATACAGTTAACAAAGTATTCCTGAGCAGTGCTTTTTTTACTACGTTTACTTTACTAATACGCGTTTTGTATAGACTTGTGCTACATTTACTTGTATCTACCGGTCAACAGCAAAAACCGTTTGGACACTCGTAGACGACAACATTTGCTACCATCGTTCGAGAAAAAACAAAAATCAAAAGAACAGCGACTAGCGTGAGGGATTCCAATCTTATTCACACGTAAGGGATCTCATTTTTATTTACACACAGAGTTCAGTCAATGACCGATGACAACTTATTTCGTACTTTCTTATTTTCTTGAGTACTAATTTTTACATTTTTCTTTTTCTGAAGCATTTTGCTTCCCTGAAAACAAAACAAAAACGCTTTGGAAGAATCATTCTATTTATTCCGTAGTTCTAAAGTAAAAATAAATTTTGCTCTACCTAAATTATCATTTACTTCTGAACAAGAAGCATTTTCTATATCTGACACATTTATCCACATCAATGTAATTCCATTTTATTCTGGAAAATCCCATCAGTTGTCAATAACTATTGATTGCAATGATGTAAAACCACGTGCGAATTCTGGTATTTTTCAAGGAATTAAATGTAGATTACGAGAAAAGGCTAGAAATATGTTTTCATATAAAACTACTTTTATTTGTATTTTCTTGAGATCCGCACTGATAGAAAATTTTGAAGATAAAAGAATTGAACGAACTCTCGAATACGATTTAATACAAATTGTTCAGAAACTATATTAAAATTACTTCAATTAGAATTAAAATTACTTCACTAAGAAATGCGGATAATGCACTTAAAAAAGTGATAGGATATGAAAATCGAGCATTGCATATGTTTCTGATAAATATTAAAGAACTGTTTAGGACTTTTTTAATTTATACTATCACTTAAAGATACGCAAACACCACAATTGGCGACGAGGATAAAACAAAAAGGAAAAAGGAGTAAGTACTACTACTAATGTACATTACTAAATTAGTAACAAAATGTCAGATAATTAAGTTCCAATAAGTGATAACTCATCAATAACTCTGACAAATGGTACTTAAATGTAAAAATTGACGAAACTAACATCAAGTGCCAGATAAAAGGGTCCAATAAGTTAATAACTCATTAATACATTTTGACAAATAGAAAAATTCCAATTAATTACTCATCAATATGTTTACAAAAAAGCACAGTGGAAAGTTCCAAAGAGTTAATTGCTCATCAATATGCCTGCAAAAAAGCGCAGTGGAAAGTTCCAATGAGTTAATTACTCATCAATATGTTTACAAAAAAGCACAGTGGAAAGTTCCAAAGAGTTAATTGCTCATCAATATGCCTGCAAAAAAGCGCAGTGGAAAGTTCCAATGAGTTAATTACTCATCAATATGTTTACAAAAAAGCACAGTGGAAAGTTCCAAAGAGTTAATTGCTCATCAATATGTCTGCAAAAAGTGCAGTATTGCGACAAAACTAATACATGGTTCAAAACGTATTTCGTAACCTATATGAAAAAAAAGAGAAAAAACAATAAAATCAACAATAAAATTAATATCATCACAATTACGATGTTCAAAGGGATGAAAATTAGAAAATTTTATATTTTCAGATTAGCCTAACAACTCTGAAATGTCTCACGTACCAGTATTAGAAGCATTTGAGTGCGAAGGTGATCTTAATTCCGTGGGTTCTTGATGTGAAAAATGGTAACGTGCACTAGAAATATACTTTCTAACAACGAACACGGAGCAACGTAATAAGAAAAGAGCCACACTCTTGCATACTGGGAGTCTATCCTTGCAAGATATTTTATTTAACATTCCGGGAGCTTACGTTAATGAGGGTGAAGGAGTTGATGTTTATGAAACAGCTATTCAAAAACTGGATGAATATATTTCCTCAAAACAAAGTAGTGTTTACAAGAGACATGTTTTTAGATTAATGAAACAAGAACAATGTGAAAATTTTTAAAAATTTTCAGTGAGGTTACGACGGCAAAGTTAAAAATGTAAATTTACTGATGAAAATCAAAATATTATTGATCAAATAACCGAGAAGTGCCTTTCTGCAGAATTAAGGAGATACAGTAACAGTAGATAAAATAATAATTGAAGCAAATGCGATTGAAATCGTTGAAAGACAATTAAACGATTCCAATGAAAAATTAACTTGCGGAGTCGAAGACAAAATGAAGAAATTTGGTACAGAGAAGCAGATCTCATGTAGTAGATGTAGTAGCACAAATCATAAAAGTGATAGTAGTCGATGTCCAGGCAAAGATAAAATCTGCATTAAATGTTGTTACAGGGAGCATTTTCAAAAGCAATGCAGGACGAAGGTTAACAAACGTAAAAATAATACTCAATTAAACCCAACAACTAATTATTATAAGAAATCCAAGGTTGGGTTAACTAACAAACCACATACTGCAATCGATTACATTTTTCACATAGACGATGACTCTACAGACTGTCAGTTAAGGGGAGTAACTGTTCAGATGCCTATTGACTCGGGGAGTAAATACAATATTATTAAAGGAGTAAGGTTATAGTGTCAAATCAGCAGAAAGATCCGGATAAAATCTTACAAGCTTACGGGGCTAAAAACCCATTATAAATAATTGGATCGTTTGAGGCATGAATAACAATAGGAACTAATAATTCTGAAGCCACATTTTACGTCATACGCAATGGGTCGAGGAATCTGCTAGGAAAAGAAATGGCCATTCGTTTAAAAATATTAAAGTTAGGATAAAATGTTAATTTGGTGAGTGGAGCTCTATTTCCCAAGTTTAAAGGGGTACAATTAGAGATTGTTATTGATAAAGCTATTAGACCCATTTGTCAAGCGTATAGACGGGTACCTATTCTTCTAGAAACTAAAATAAACGGCAAAATCGAGGAGTTAATAAAAACGGATATTTTCGGACCGGTAAATCAGCCCTCATCCTGGGTAATTGTAATTATATGGAAAAAATGAATTTGAACTGATTACGAATCATAAACCCTTGGAAGTTATTTTTGGAGAGCGATCAAAACCCTGTCATCGTATTGAGCGCTGGGTATTACGATTGCAAGCCTATAAGTATAAAGTTATTTATAAGCCCAGAAAACATAATATAGCTGACTGTCTCTCACGATTGTGCAAAATTCAAAACTTCAATTCTTTCGATGATGAATATCATGTCAACCAAATTATAGAGTATACACGACCAACTGCATTATCGTTAGACTGTATAGCTTATGCATCAAAAAATGACAAGGAGCTTCAATTAGTTAGAAAAGGCGGAACAGTTGGGATGCTAGTGTCGAAAAATACCAGTTGTTTGAGTATGAGCTTTGGCTACATGACGATATTTTGTTGAGAAGCAATAACTGTAATACCAATAAAGTTAAAACATCAAGTTTTAGGAGCCGCACATGAAGATCATCTGGGAATAGTAAATATGAAGGCTAGATTACATACAAAGGTTTGGTAGTCTAAAATAGATAAGGATGCTGAAGATGCAGTAAGATACTGTAGGGGTTGTATATTAGTATCGGGGCCAAATCCTCCTAACCCCATGAAGAGATGCGAACTACCATTACAAGCTTGGATTGATTTTAGGTCTACTGCCCAGCGGAGACTATCTTTTCGTAATCATTGATTACTTTAGCGGGTACAAATTATAAGATCTATATCAGCAAACGATACAATAAAGGTGCTGAAAGAAATTTTTTCGCGAGTAGGAATTCCTAGTAGCATAACAGCTGATAATGGTAGACAATTTATCAGTCACGAATTTAAAACATTCTGTACAGTTAGGTATTAAAATCTACCACACAATTCCTTATTGGCCTCAACAAAACTTGGAAGTCGAAAGATAAAATCGAGATATAATTAAGAGATTAAAAATCAGTCAGGCTCTAAAGTCTAATTGGAAGGATGATCTTTTAGAATATTTGATGATGTATAACAGTACACCACACGGGTCTACAGGGAAAGTCTCCTTCGGAATTATTATACGGTAGACAATTTAGAGATAAGCTGCCATGCTAAATAGATTTGGAAAGTAGGGATATTTACTTAGAAATTAGGGACAAAGATAAAGAAATGAAATGTATGGGTAAATTAAATGAAGACAGGAGAAGAAAAGTCATGGATAGACAGATAGAAGTTGGTGAAAAAGTTTACGTAAAAAACCTAATCGAAGAAAATAAGTTAACTCCCCAATTCAACCCCATACCACATACTGTGGTAAGTACCAAAGGCAATGAAATAAATGTTGAAAACGATGCCACAGGTTAAGTATATAAAAGAAATGTAGTTCACTTGAAGAAAGCGGAAGAGCAATGGACTATAGTCGATATTCAAGATTCACAAAAAGAAGAAAACGGTAACCAACAAAGTAAATTTTGAATTAAAAGTTTATTTAGGGATTTTGTAGTTAGGGATTGAAATATTTATAATCAAAATAGTTAAGTTAAGTTATGTATTAAAATTTGAATTAATTGTTTATTTTCATAGTTTTGTAATTGTAGCAGAGAATTAAGTTTATACTTAAAATCATTGAAATTAAAAGCAATACAAAAAGGAAGAGATGTGGTATTCTGATGTATGTGTATATATGTGTTAAGATAATGTACGAAAGAATGACTAATGAAGGTTACGATTACGGTACAAGGATGTACAGGCAGTTCTGGTCGAGAGCAGAGAGAATGCAGACGTCTTGTACGGTGTGGCGATATTACTGACAGGCGAATAACTACACATTTTTGTTAACCGAGATGTACACAAACACCACACTATTAATGCGCAAGTTTATGAAAAATCAAAAAATGTATTTTCGGCACAAAACGTACCAACTGACAGACACACAACCAACACTCATGTCAACGTCTACGAGAAATATCTTTCCTAGACCACAATTATCATCTCGTTATTAACAAAAAGAGGATCCCATGAACCTGTGGGGGCGTCCATTATTACGTGAAGCGTTTAGGGAGGAGGGGTCTAGTCAAATCTCGCTCAATCTTACGGGGGGAGAGGGGTCTCAATAAATATTTTCCCTTAAGAGACAGTGTAAAAGATTGCGATAAATTGGGTTAAATTAAGTAAAAAGCATGTTTCTCCACTATTAGTGGTGTTAAAATACACAATAATATTTATCGCAGTTATATGAATGCAAGTAATAAAGTAGCCCCTTCATTGCTCAACCGAGATGAGCCAAATCTCACGACATTTCACCAGGGGGTCGAAAATAGCCAAAATCGCCTTACGCAATTAATGAACGCCTCCTTTCCAACGTTGTTTTTTCTTGTGTTTTTATTTTAATTACAATACATACATTTCTATGAAATTTACTAAAATAAGAAGGTGCATTTTTGATTTAAAATTATTTAANAACTAAAATAGAATATGTAAACTTTTCCCCGGTTAATCAGTTTTTTGTTAACCGCGGTTTTGACTCAAGCTAAAAACTGGTTATTGGAGTAATTGGTCAAACTAAAACGTAAAAAAAAACAAACCTAAAATTTTTAAAGTTCAATTTAAAATACAACTCAAACTCTGTTCGGTGTCGATGTATTCGATATTTGTATATTTGTAAATTTTTTTTATGTAATGTATCGTGTTTTCTGTGTAACTTCAAATTGTGTTACAAACAGCTTTGGACCTCTTTATTAAAACCTTCAGGTAGATATCAAACGTTGGGAAAGTCCGAGTCCCCAACTACGTCACATCGGACCTTCTCTGGGCACCTGAAGGATGCATAGCAACAACAGAAGCATTGACCAAGGGGTCTGTTTACTTAGGGGCGTGTCCTATTTTGTTGTAGACTATTTAAGTCTTGAACAAAAGATTCATATTCAGATTCAATTCACTTCAATATTCAATTCATATACAATTCAAATCAATTCATATTCAATTCAATTCAATCATATTCAAAGTATTCAAATATAAAAGTTTCACAGCCATCTTCGAAAAAACATTAAACGATTTTAGTTTCTTTCAGAAACAACAGTAAGTAATTTGCAAACTAGAGAAGATGGGTAAAAGAAACTGTAGTACCTTTCGAAAGAGAATAAAATTCTCCATAAGGCTATGAAAATACATACAGGGTGTTCCATTTAAAAAAATTGTTCGAAATTAACCAAATCCGTGATTAAATATCTAACACCCTGTATGCAGTTAACTCATTTTGAAAGTATATACGGAAAACTCGAGCATCTATCTATCTCTCCTGAGAATATTGTTGCTGCAGCTTTCTTACTGTAAGATAGGCATGCTTTCTCGCTACCTACTGCTCTGTGCTACCTTTTTAAAAAAAATAATATATTGAAAACGGTAAATTTTAGAAGTATAAAAGCCTTATAAAATTCCACCTTAAATCATAAGTAAAATTCAAAGCCGTCATAATATACAGGGTGTACCATTTAAAACAAAGTTGATGTTAACTTCCGGTATAACCGGAAATGCCACATAAACGCCGAAATTTAAATCAAAGTTGTTTCCGAAATATTCTAATGGGTGTTCACAATGAGACACCCTGTATATACAAAAAGCTATCGGTTGATTGATTCAGTTTTTGTTGAATGTGTAAATGGAAAAATATTGTTTCTTTTGGATTATTATTAAGTAATGTTGGTAAACACTGAATTTTAATAAATAAAAAGTGTATGATTTTAAGTGGTAATAGATAATATATTTATATTATTATACACTATATCCGTGAATCTCATTCTGTCAGGCTACCACCATTAAATAGAAATTCTTTTCGTCCAGTAGTTACTGAGAAAATGCAACTTTTTTACCCGCAGTCATTTTGACCCTTTTAAGTTTGCAAAACAAAATTAGCAGACAAAATGTAAACCATCGGATAATTAGCCGCAACAAAAATTGTAAAATTGGTTAAAAAAATTCTTGACAGCTAAAACCGGGCTCATAATTAGTCGCTAATTACCCGCTGATTATTTAGACTAACAACCAGATGGTTCAAATTTCTTTTTTAAAATGGCGTTCTTTTCTGATCTAGATTTTCTATAGCATTTTCAAACCTAAATTGTCTGGTCTATTAAGGATCTTTAAATTTTACGTTATGAAAGTAGTTCACGTGATTGACCACTGCTTTTTATTTTATCGTATTTTATGGCAGAGAGTCAAACATTCCTGCTACATTTTTATATCACATATGTCGGGAAATTATCAAGTGCATAATTCAATTTTTGATGAACACCGCAGAACTCACCAAAAGAACCGAGCAAGGTAACGTTGTTACTCCTTTATCATGTTATCGGACACCTGTATTATTAAAGCGCAGTACCTTCGGAGCTTCGAACTCTAAAAAAAGTCATGACTCATGGCTAATAGATTCAAAAATGAGGCTTCACGACCTATCTAAACATCTCCTAATGATGTCGATAAATTAGTACTACATATAAACAGCAGTAGAAGTAGCGCAAACTAATTGTTTCTCTCGGATTTGTCATCATGTTATACACAGAATATTTAGGGAGGGAGTTACTTGAAATTTAAAAATCTACTTTTTTTTAAAGCTGTGATTCAACAAATCAAATAATTTTTGAAAACAACTTTGCGAGATTCTATATTTTTTTTATTCGTCATTATCCTGAAAAGATGCGTCGGTAGCAATTTTTGGCAAATTTCAGCTCTATTCTATTTTAACCCCTACTCTCATACATACATGCTACCATGATACATATGAATTGGAAATTGGAAACTAGTTAATTAATGATTAACTAGATGCGTTGATTATTCGCATGATAGACGTCTAAGAATCTTTGCAAGATATGAAAAGAAAACTTTTATGTAACTTAATCTTAAACTGCATTAAGGTGTTTTTTTCTCTTACCTCTACTGTAAGAGTATTTTCCATTAACGCCAGCAAACCGACATTCCATAATTTACCAGTGTCTGCATATTTTTTAGTAGGATCTACAGTTACTACGCCCTGTGTTCCTTTAATTGTGATAGGGTCAGGTCCTAAAACATGTATATATATAAAAAGTAGACACATATTAAATATCTAAATATAGCGTATCCTTTTTTAGAATGCATGTGTATAATACACGAAAAATTATATCTATAGCCCATAAGATCTGCAGAATACATCATTTTTAAGAACTACGTAGCTCTTCGTATGCTCAGATCAGTCTGTTTGCCAAGAAACAAATTCGTCATTCCGCTACTACATCAGGTCGAACGATAGTGTTGGATGTCCTTGTGTCGATAAGCATTCGAACAATGTAGTGATTTATGGATTCCTTAATGGACAATTAGTTCCGTCCTGTCTTGAGGTGACGACTTCTTCGGGGGCTTATTGAGGAAGATCGTATTTTGTTTGAAGGGCACTCTCGACATATGTGATCTAATCTTCCACAATTCCAGCACTTCAGATGGTCACGGTAGTTGTTGCAGCCCACAGCAAAATGGCCAGACCTTCCACACTTTTATCATTTTAGATTTCGCTCTGGTGACTTTCTTCACATTGATTATGTATGAGCTACATGGTACTTTCTTTTGTAGTTATATGTATGTTAGCTCGTTAATTACGGCTTTTCGGTTGGGTGTGATGTGCCTGTTGTATATATTTATTGTCGTACATCATTTCTGGACGGTTAACAAAGTTATATTGTTGAGACTCGAGCATTCCTTAAATGTCCTCCTTTTCGTCGTAAGGAAATCATACAAAGTTGGAAGTGTAATCTTTGCTGACCTTACAATAGTCAGTTCTCGCTATAGCCGATAGTTTGACTTTTTACATTTATTTCTTTCAAACACCTTTCCAACCAGTACCAATTTATTTAACCACTATTATTAATTAAACAGTTACGACTAATCGTGAATTACCCCTACAAACCATATAAATTGCAAATCTCTAGAAAAGAGAAGTAGGAATTCAACGTCATTGAAGAATTTTATAGAAATTTTCGAAATTCCCACGGATTGTGGATAAGCATACACAATTGGAATACTCTAGAAGGGAAAAAGAACTAAAACTACATCATCGAATAATTTCATGGTACTTTCTAGAAATTTTCACGAATCGTGTCTATTTAACAGTTATAACTTATATGTCATTAGAATGTTTTCGAGGCGAGAAGGATGAATTCAACGTCATCGAAGAATATACAAGTCGTATATCGCTGTAAAGCTCGAGAATAGAAAAGGACGACTTTCTCAAAATAGAAAAAATCGAGATATTTCATGCCAGCTACTATCAGGATAAAGCAAAAATGGAGAGAAAAATAAAAGCTTTAGCGGCAATAAGTTCTGAAAGAAAAATAGATATAAATGCAGGACAGCAAGAACTAAAGGCAACTGAAGATGAAATGAAACAAAAAATGGAGTAGGACAAGAAGGCGAAAAAGGAGCAGAAAGAAATGAAGCAGAAATTAAAAGCAGCGCAAAATGATATGAAGATGGAAAATGAATAAATGAAAAGAAAAATAACGTGCATGAAGCAATAAATTTGAGAATGGAGGAAATGATACATGACATCAGAAACGAGATGGAAACGAAAATAAAAAAAAGAGAAATTAAGATGGAAAAAATGCGATATAGTAGTAAACTGGTAATTAATTATTACTAGTAGTGTTAATTAATGAGTAATTAGTTAAATAATCAATAAGTAGTGCGAAAGGTGTTTTATTACACAAGTTATAGATTTTTTCGTTTCTCATACTTCATCTGTCAAAGAAACTGCTCCTTTAGTTTACATTTTATAAGCAAAATTTCGCATAGTACTTAAAGTGATCCTGCAGTTGGTATCCTGTTACGAAATCGATTTTTTTTTGTTATCCAACTTGCATATTTCTATTACGCAAGGTAGAAATAAATAAATTTATTCAATGATACAGGAATTACTCAATACGTACGAATCAAAACTAAAAGAGGGTTAAAAGTTTTATTTAAAAAAAAACTGCGGTTATTTAACCTAACCTAATCCCCTCTTGGTTTGATTCACACATTAAGTATATAACAGAGAAAATATAGAAAATAGAATACAAGAATTATATCGAAACAGAGGGTGACTCAATATTATAATTTGCGGTATTTGTTTCAGTTTTTCAAATATTTCTTAAAGTATAGTAGATAGTATTTAAATTCTTTCTCTTAGTATTTTATCTAAAAATGGATTTTATATCATATAGTAACGCTAACATACGTTGTATTAATAGGCACACGATGATAAAATACATAATATGCACAACTGGTAAGTACTATTTGGATATCACATCATAATCGTGTTTATAGGCATTTCTGCTACAAACAAGATGATAAAATGCAAAATGCATACAATGCCTCTACAAAGTACAAGGATAGTTGTTTTAAAAGGAGAGTTATTTTTGATATGCCAAATCAACTATTAAATATTGAATGAATATGAACAATAAACCAAAAATTAAAAATCGAAACTTCTGAAGCGTAAGTATTCTACCTACATAAAATTTATTAATTACATTTTCATAAAACATCAAATGATTTTTAAACGTTGAGATAGATTTATTAGTTCCTTATAATTTGAAACTATAAACATTAAAAATTGTACATGGAAATTCTATCTCTTCTCTCGTTTTTTCGATACGATTAATTTAAGGACAAGAAATATTTTATTCCGCCAAAAGCTTTAGTGGATTGATGTTTACTGCTTAGTGCATAGATGAAATAAACATCTCAGTTTATCGATACAACAATCATAATAATAATATGCATATGTCGAAAAGTCACAATATAAGTAATAATTAATTAATAATACTCACCGAAACTAAAAATCAACCTTATTATGTCCTTTGTTTTATCGTACGCTCTATCCGAAAATCTAAGAGCCAATGTAAACTTTTGACCTCGTCGTAATACAGGAATTGGGTTTTCTTCATCGTGAACCAACTCATATGTATCGGTATGATGATTTCGAGCATTTTCAAGAGGATAAAGGTAAATTTGTTCCACTGTTAGTGACGACATCTTTATTTAAACCGTTAACAATAATTTTCCTGAATAAATGAAAATGAATACGACTCAATAATAATAATAATGTGCAATATAAACGAAAAAATAAGTCCACAGAAATATTATGAATTTTCATATTTGGTTTCTAAAATCGCTTGTATTTATACAAGGTTTATATAGAAATACCTAATCGCAGAATGAAGGAGCAATTACACTTTTTGAAATCGAAAGTATTCTATTCATATCTATTCAATTTCTATTTTGAACAGGTACCTATTTCAACACCTACACAAATTTAAAGCAATTAAATACAAATTATACACGTTAAAAATTTAAATTAATAATTCAAAATCATTAAAAGTAAATACATACCTTTTTTGGCAAGAGTTGTAATAATACTGAGAACAAGATATTAAAAAAAGCAGTCTAATTTACTTAAACAGCTTACAACTTATCATTATACATTTCCGCAAAAGTAATTATTTCGTGTGGTTATTAGGTTTCGGTAATAAGCCACCGGTAGTTTGATAATCCTAGCAAATAGTTGTAAGCACTACATTAAAGTTTCAAATTCGTACTCTAAGAATATACAGTATTTTCTCACGTTATATTTATTAGTGACTCATTTTTCTGAATATTTTTTTAAATCTACGAAAATATTATTATTATTTGTGGCATTTTAATTTAAATCAGTTACTGTTTTTACTACTTACCATCATGTAAATAAAGATTAGAAAACGAAAAGGCTCAGTATTATACTTTGTTCGTTTTTAAGAAAGGAAAAAAGAGTATTTGGAAGTATTAGTTAATTAGTTATAGCGTTTTAAACAATTAAATTGTTAATAATAAATTGCCCAACCACTTTTTGAAAATAAGCCATAAATCTTGGGCTCCCAGAAAATACTTTTTAAAAAAAGACTTGACGATAATATTTTTACTGCCAAAGCTGTTCAGTTGTTCTCAAACGGTTTGTTGAAAATTGCATTCACTTCTATTATTATGTGGTAAATTTATTACTGATAAGCAATGAATCGTTAAGTTATAAACATAAAGAATGACCTTTATACAATCATGTCAAAGGACGGTCACTGTCTCTGTACAAATCGAACTAAAATAGAATATGTAAACTTTTCCCCGGTTAATCAGTTTTTTGTTAACCGCGGTTTTGACTCAAGCTAAAAACTGGTTATTGGAGTAATTGGTCAAACTAAAACGTAAAAAAAAACAAACCTAAAATTTTTAAAGTTCAATTTAAAATACAACTCAAACTCTGTTCGGTGTCGATGTATTCGATATTTGTATATTTGTAAATTTTTTTTATGTAATGTATCGTGTTTTCTGTGTAACTTCAAATTGTGTTACAAACAGCTTTGGACCTCTTTATTAAAACCTTCAGGTAGATATCAAACGTTGGGAAAGTCCGAGTCCCCAACTACGTCACATCGGACCTTCTCTGGGCACCTGAAGGATGCATAGCAACAACAGAAGCATTGACCAAGGGGTCTGTTTACTTAGGGGCGTGTCCTATTTTGTTGTAGACTATTTAAGTCTTGAACAAAAGATTCATATTCAGATTCAATTCACTTCAATATTCAATTCATATACAATTCAAATCAATTCATATTCAATTCAATTCAATCATATTCAAAGTATTCAAATATAATTTCAACCATTCAATTCATATCCAAATTAATTTATATACCAATTCAAATCAATTTTATTCAACTTAAGCAATTAGTGTAAATAGTGTGAATAAAGTGTAAAAAGAAAAGCAGTCTTTATTTCGAAGTATATAACCAAAAGAGCCTTTGGCGGGATACCGCCATATACATCATCAACAATCAAATCAACACATCAAACAAACTCGACAACAACAATTTTAGCTTAAAGTCTCTACTTATTTTATTATTTCAACCTAAGAGATAAGGTAATTGTTGAGGAAAATCAACATGTTCATTGCGTTCCCTTTTGAATAACTTCTTTTATCTGAAACGATGTTTTCTACATCAGGGAATACTTTCTCTGATGGCGTTGAAGTGATTAGCATAGCAAGATAATTACAGGCTAATTTGCTCATTTGCTTTTCACCAATCTAGTGGAGATCCAGTTTTGTCAATTTGCTTTTCCTTAGAATATGTTTCGATTATACATACATAGGTGTACCTCAATTGATAATTTTTGAATTAATTTTTTTTAAAGCATTAGTCTGCAATTTCGTCGAAAGGGACATTGAAAAGAACATTACGAATGTTCAGATGTTCATTTGAGATATTTGTGCTGATTTGTTTAAAATTGTCTTTAAGATACAATATCTCAAATATCAGTANTAGTGGAGATCCAGTTTTGTCAATTTGCTTTTCCTTAGAATATGTTTCGATTATACATACATAGGTGTACCTCAATTGATAATTTTTGAATTAATTTTTTTTAAAGCATTAGTCTGCAATTTCGTCGAAAGGGACATTGAAAAGAACATTACGAATGTTCAGATGTTCATTTGAGATATTTGTGCTGATTTGTTTAAAATTGTCTTTAAGATACAATATCTCAAATATCAGTATAATCATATTTGTTTTGGAAAAAATGATTAAGGTTTTCTGTTTCTTCTTTCAAGCACTTGCAGACAGGTACTTTAAATTTAATATAAAAATTTTCATTTTGCAAATTACATTTTTGCGCACCCGGTATAACAAATGTTTCCAAAGTAAATCGTATTTTATTTACAAGCAATTTTTTTAAGGGATGTAGAAAAGTTAAATAATGGGCACTTGTTTATCAGTACTATTTTTCCATTTTTTAAGAAACATGGTTGATACTTTTTCAAATATCGCTTTATTTGGCGTTGACTGCAAAGTATATATACCTTTTTTTAATAGGGAGCGAAAAACAACGTTTGAAACTGATCGCAAATAGTTATTCGAATTTTTAATCATGTGAAAAAAACATGTAAGTCCAACTTCAGGAAAACCAAAAACGACTGTGTAACCGTTTCTTATAGCTTCAGCAGCATCAGCGAGTAAGACTGATGGTTTTCATTCTAGAAAGGCTTCTTTAGTGAAGTCGTCCTTTGTTTTTTTCTTGCTCATCACTTGTTCCTACGAATAAAAGGATAACCCTGCCAATTCAACTTATAGGTTGCGTTTGTCTGAACTATCTTTTAATGACTTTTTGCTAACTTTAACAATGCGTAGAAATGACAATTTTCAAATCCTAATCGTCTAAATAGACTCCACTAAATCAATGACGTACGGCTCGTCTTCGTCTAATTCGCTCATTGTACCACGTTTTGTTTTTAATTGGTGATACGGAAAGGATTCCTTTCTCCATTTAGATTTTTCAGGTTCAGTCATTTGGTTTTAGCGAAAAAGGTTTAATATGGCATTTAGTTTTGCAATCCCATTAACATACTTTTCTCGTATAAAATTCTTCATATTAGCAGACAAACGTCGAACTGGATTGATGTTTTTCGAGATTTATTATCGGTCTCGTACAATTATACTTGAGTGCTTGTATTGTGATACAACAAGTGTATATGTTAGGCCCGAAGACCGAAAACGCTCAGTGGTCGGAAAAAACGGCCACATCGCGTTCTGGCTGCCTTCGAACGCACAGAACGCGTTTTAGCTGTTTTTAAACGCTCGCAACGCGTTCTGGTAACTGTTGAACAGCCGGAACGCGTTTTGTCAATTGTTGAACGCTCACAACGCGTTCTTAATGTTCGGCGTGTTATTAGTTTAGGGAACAATTGAATTATTGACAACTATAATTGGATACCAAGGATGGGTTCGGTTTTTCTCGCCGAATCATTTTAACAATATTAAATTTCTTATAATTGTTTTTCAGTTCTAGGAAGAAAGTTACACTGAACACTTATATTGTCGCGACTCCTGATTTTTGCGCGCATTTTGAGCATGCTCAACTTCTCGTACAAGCAATTCGTACCTTTCCTCAGACAGCAGCATAGATCTATCGTCACAACTATCAATAATTGGTTTTACTTTATCATAAAAAATTTCTTTCGCTGATTTATCAGACATTTTAATGAAAGTGTAACTTTTCAAACGACTTTAGTAAGTTGTTTAGTCAATGACAGACTGATCTTCTCGCTAGAACTGTACTGATTTTTCATGAAGTCAAGTTAGTTATTATATACTCAAACTACTAAGTGTTCAGTGTAACTTTCCTCCTAGAACTGAAAAACAATTATAAGAAATTTAATATTGTTGAAATGATTCGGCGAGAAAGACCGAACCCATCTATGGTATCCAATTATAGTTGTCAATAATTGAATTGTTTCCTAAAAACTGAAAAATGGATTGAAATTCTTTTGTTTTATAAGTACAATATAAATCTCATTGTACGCAGGTAGAAAGCGGCAAATAATACAAGTCGAACATTAAGAACGCGTTGTGAGCATTCAACAATTGAAAAAACGGGTTCCGGCTGTTCAACAGTTACCAGAACGCGTTGCGAGCGTTTAATAACAGCCAAAACGCGTTCTGTGCGTTCGAAGGCAGCCAGAACGCGATGTGACCGTTTTTTCCGGTCACTGAGCGTTTTCGCTCTTCGGGCCTAACATATATACGCCCTTCGGGTATTCCGCCACTCTATATTCACCTGATGTACACCGGTACTCCACTCTTTTACCCGACGGCATCATTTTTGTTAAAGTAACCTTCGAAATTGTCTACAGCATTTCAGCTTCTGATGCAGATGTATTCATTTTCTGTTCACGCTACGTGAGTGTTGATCTTTTACGCACCAAAAAGAAACGTATACATCTGTAGCAGAAACTGTTAAGCTGCAGACAATTTGAAAGGTTACTTCAACAATATAATACATAACAACATAATATTCTCAAAAAACATCAGTCCAATTCGAGGTTTCTCTGCTGATATGAAGAATTTTATACGAGAAAAGTATGTTGATGGGATTGCAAAACTAAATGCGTGTTCATACTGTGTTCGTACCATAAGCAAACATCTCAATGTGTCAGTAAGTGAAATGCATCAAAACTAGGAGAATTATATGATAGTTTGTTCCACGTATATTCTTTTAAAGCGCAAGGAGAAGACGATCCGGAAGATGAAACGGTTTTGGGTACATACATTACACAGATGTTATCTTTTACCAAGTGATTGTCGCAATATTTATGAGATAAATCGTAGATTGCAGGATGGTCCTGCACGAGATTACATAGTTCTTCAACTATGACGGTGTAGTCATCATTCACCTATGTCACTCACTCACGAACCATCTATTCTCATGATACATTTTGTTGTTCGGCTACTTTCATCAGCACGTTTTGATAGTCGAACCTGGTGTGAGCGCTCATCAGCGATCGTAAGCCGCCTATACTATAATTTTTAATAAATGACTATATACTGTTGTTCTTTATTGTGTTTGTGTACAACTGTCAGAACGTGTTTTTTATTTATTTATTATTTTAATCAGCCAACGTTTTTAGAAACAATTGTTATTTTAGTTAGTTTTTAAAGTTTTATCTATACATTTGTTAATGTTTGTTAATCTCTAAGCATGCCCTTTAGTCAAATTCCACCAGTATTACAGTTTTGACTAAATAAAATTAGCTTAGCCTTAAAGAACAAAAGGGTCAATTGTGGCTCAGTTTGTATTAAAATAATAATTACAATGTATTGTAGCCTTAAAATAGCTTAAGAACCTGGGCGAAATGTTGACTGTTTTTTTAAATAAAATAAATTTAAAACCCAGTATTGCTTTGATCAGAAAGAATTGATTACAATTTCTCTCCGAGTCCTTACTTAAGCATATTTACGAAAGAACAATGCAACATCCGATAAAAACATTGTTTGTATTTACATGATGACTTTGCCTCCTTCTATTTTCGTCTCGTTGTGTGTTCTGATGTTGAGGTCGTTAAATAACAGAATGCGGAATAAAACGATAACAAACTTTAATAAACCAAGAACGAAAAATGAAGACTA